TCGACCCCAATAGGCATACATGCAGAAAGCAACCTTCTGTTCCCGAAATGTTCACAAACATAATACTAACCTTCGTTAGTGTCCCATCCGTGATGAGTACATCTAATATTGCTTCCATCCCTTCGCTGTGAATTTGACATTTTGTTAGATCTAAAGACGTTAAGGTCTTATTGGCATGGTATGCTGAAGTACACTTGAGGCGTTAGATTTGGCGAGTTTACTTCTTTTTACTACACTACTGCTTATTACTAAAAGGTTTTTTGAAAAGTGTTTTAATGTTAAAAAAAAGCGAAAACTAAGAAAATTATAAGTGTAAATAAGATAGAAACGCGAAGGTTTGTTTAAACAGTAAAAAGCACATCAAAATAAACATCACTGATCAGGATTATCACGATATTTTCGATATCGCATAAATCACATGACCTTAACCAATCATATTTCTGTATTTCAACTATTTCAAATATCTGAATATCAATTAGACGGGTCCAGCGTTGGAAATTCCAGATCCAAATATTGTTCTCATATAATACTTATAGATGTTCTCAAATACTAAACTATGTTCACATACACGAAAGAAAACTACATTACTGAAGTCAGAAAATTAAATAAGAGTATATATAGATTAAATTTTTAACTTTTTTAAAAAAATTGTAGGTTTAAAGATCGCTCAATTAAAAATGAATACATTACTTATTTTATCCAAAATTAGATACCAAATCATTCATTGTGAAAATCCAAATGTTATATGAATAGATGTCAAGCGCACATTTAAATGCTTATAATGAAAAATTTTAAATATCAATCTTGTAATTATGATCAGCTATATCTGGCTTAGCAATAAAGTTATATAGTTATTTTTTATATAAAATACATATGAGAACGTTATAATTATTTTACTGTTCTCAAAAAATTTTTTAATAGTGAACAGTAAAAAATTTACGCTGTGCACAAATTTACAATAGTGTTCTCATGAGAACTCCGAGAACGCTAATTTCAAACACTGATTATGTTAATAGATCACACGTACATATAATCGTAATTATTTGAGGGAGGGGAGAAATTTTACTATTTACAAAAAATTAGATGATAAATGAAATGATGCTTCCGGGTTTACCACAAAATCCTGAAGGACAAAATCCCGAAAGGACCTAATACCGACAAAGTTAGCCAGCATTAGTTATAATGTTGGCCAATTTAATCGGTATTATGTTTCTTCGGGAAAATGGTTTTCAGGATTTTGTGGTAGAACCGATGCTTCCCTAATTGTTTTGGTTTTAAATACAATTATTATGAAACGCACCTATGGTGTTTTAGCACCATATATAATTGTTTTTAATAAAATTTAGGGTTAGGGTTTGGGTATTAAGAATTATTTTTTTTTATATAATATAATATAGAGCTAATATAAGGTCCCGATCTCAGTTTTCGTGAGTTTTTGGGAGTCCTGAACATTTTTACTTAGAGTACCCGATCTAGTCGTTTTTGAGAAATAGGACCTACGGTGTAAAACACCATAGGTGCGTTTTAGTAAAATTCTTTAAATAAGTAATTTTTTTATTTGTTCTAATTTTTGCTTGGTAACTTATAGTTCACAAATCAATTAACCCAAATAAAAAATTTTCAGATAGGTTAAAACATTATTCTAGACCTACTGCTTAAGAATAACAATCCTCTTCTATGTAAACCAATTTAACTACGTACTACTAAAAAAATAATATTTTATTATAACAAAAAAAAAACAATCTTTTATACAACTTGCAGCTAATCCATAAAATTTAATATTTGACTTTTAGACGCAATTCAAATATTTTTGATTCTATTACAGTAGCATATAGTAGTAAATTGTAGAAGCAAAAATATATACTGTACAATAGACGCAATAACGAGATTCTATTAAAAAAAAAAATCGCGAATCATAATGTAAGTCGCTTGATGATAACTTACTCCTTGCTTTTAATAATATTTTTCAGCAGAGATAGAATTCCTGAATTAGAACTGTATATATTAATTGTCGCTCTTTCACGTTCATGATTAATGTAGCACTATATATAACGGCAAAATACCAGCAAAATCAACTAGTTTGTTAATTAAAGTTTACCATCACCCTTGCTGTTCTGCGACTTTCGATTCAACCTTATTATAATAAAAGACCCTACCTGCTATACATTAGCGCCACACAATCCTGAAGAACAACAATTGTGTGCGTCGAAATCGGAATATTTTATTACCGTGCTTAAATTTTTTTTTCAGCTAGCCAACTTTTCTGTAAAATCAGTAAAATATTAGGCTCGAATATTTTACATGATAAAAAAAAAATTTGTTAAGGGACTTGTTAGTAAATGGGAGTATTTCGTGGAAAAATAGAGAATTCGAATACGTGATGAAATCATATCTGATATGCTTCAAATACATATCACTATCTTATCAGTTATCACTATTGTTCGTAAATTTTGATAATGTCACTTTCTATATCGTATGTTTGAATTTCTTTTGATCCCTTGAAATGCAGATTTAGACCGTAAAAAACTAAGAACCAGTCAAATCGAATAAAAATTCAATGTGGCGTCTTTTTTTGAAATCAGGAGTGTCAAGGGATTATATTTATTTATTTTAAGATTTCAACTTTCGGTCAATGTATATATATTCTCGATTATTATCATGCGGATTGTATTGATAAATTTTATAAAAATCTTGAAAATTTTCCTGTTTTTTGTTGCGAAAAAAAATTTAAAAAATAAAAAAAAAATTTTACTACCCGATCTAATACAATAATCATGTATTCTTTGAACATAAAAATTGCGCTTATGATTTTAATTGTGTACATCTTGATCAAAACTTCAGAAGCCCTGCCACAAGGTAAATAAAGTTATTTAATTTGCTGATAACAAAATTTATCAATAATTTCACACTAATGTTCATGTCACCTGAAATTATTTTTAGTCGGAAACAAAGACATAAAACGTGCTGACGATAATGAGTTTTATTCGATCGAAGAAATTTGCAAAGGTAGAACCTGACGGGTTTATCATTACTTTTCGCAAATAATGTTCACCAACGTCGCCTATACTCTTAATAGATTATAGATTCGAGTATCCACCATCCAAACACGGAAAGCACGCAAAGCATGAAGTAACACGAATCAAGAATGGGTCCGCAATCGATTGTATTTGGTCTGCGGGAATGTCATCACGAATTATAAACATCACCGATTGTGAATTGTTCACTACTGATGGACTTATAAAAGTTTTATGGCAAGCCGGTATTACACTTGGTGTAGATAATAAAGCACGTGCTGTAGTAAAATTTGAAGTTCCTTTGGATTGGGAAGATAAACTTCCGGCACATTTTTTGCTTAGAAGCGCGGCATCTACAGATTTTGGACCTCATTGTAATGCTTATACGTATGTATTTAGAATTTTTTTTTAGTTCTACTTTACCAACATTATTATTATTATTAATTTTCATTTATTTTTATTTATTAGTGATAAAATCTTAATCTATCAATGAGCTGTTCATTACTTTTTTTTTTTTTTTTAAAAAAAAAATAATCATAATAAAAATAATTTAACATTGCCATTGTCATTTCTATCATACTAAAAAGCTTCGTAAGTGAAAAAACAACTGTATACAATAAAGAAAAATTTTATTTCAAAATTGTAATATTCAAAATACTGCTATACTTTATAAAATATCCAAAATCTGAAGAACTTGACTACTAATACTGTGTTCCTCATAATGCGTCATTTCTATGTCTAATGAAGTAGTTAGACGTGTTATCAATCTGGGTTAGAGGTTTAAAATTTTTTTTGGAGTTTAGCATTGATTGATTTATCAGCTAATTTGGTGACGGTAACTAAATTTTAAATTTGGGACCAAATACTTGAATTTGGTGACCGAACTTTAATTCATAAATTCGCCTCGATAATATAAATTGTTATATTTATTTAATGTTTCAATAATATCCCTTATGTCTGTCCTGTCTTTTTATTTGGTGATTTTATTGGAATAAGTCATTTAAAATCACAGAACATTCTTAAGTCACATCTAGTTTCGCATTCAATTGAGTAGCGGCAGGACATACCTTGCTGCTACCATGCTGTTATTCCCCGTAACTTATTTATAAATTACTCCTGACACTATTGTTATCCTGCCGCCATTCAGAGTGCCAATTGTATGCATGATTTATACCTTCACTTGACTATAATTGTCCTTAATGTTAGTCACAATATGATGCCTTTGATCAACAACTGTTTTCCAAGATAATTATGTAACCTTATAAGTGATAATAATTCGAGATCAAATTGCATCGGTTTTGAATAAAAATAATTCACGTGTCGTGCCGATGTCGACGTAACTATAGTAGAGGTAAATTCTAGGCTTAAAACAATTGCCGCTCTTTCGGGGCCTTACGTATATGGTGTCAGAGTTTATTTATTAATTAAACATTTGTTTGTCAGAAATTTCAATAAATTAGCCGCCCTTACTGCTGCTATCCCATCCCATACAAAGTTCAGAAGAACGACAATTGCAATTCTAATTTTGTCTTCATTGTTAAAAAAATATAGCAATTAATGTGTTTCATATGATCATGTAGTCTGGAGGCAACCTCTCGGAAACCTTTTTTTTTTAATATTGCCATTCAATTAATTGTAATTATACATTTTTATTAATAGAATCTAATACAGTTAGTTATATTTTTATATGAATGATTAATGGCTATTTATTGTTACTATGTTTATAAATTATGTATTTTTTTGAAGTCTTTGTGTGCCTTCATGTGCGTAAAAAGTTAAATATAGAACGAAATAAGTGTGAAATAGAAAATGAAATAAGCAGCAGTGTAAGTTTAATAAAAGATCCGTTTCGTGTTCATTATAATTAACCGTTAGCACTGCATATAGTACCCAAGGTCTTATTCAAAACCTTCGTTTTTAAATTTGAGTACTTTGCATTGTATATTTTGAAAGATTTCATATGAAAGTAATAAATTAATATAGTAAGAGACGGACCTGTAGAACGGAGAGAGAAATACCCGGGTCTTAATCATGATATTACGTACTGTACATGGGTGGCGAAAATATTTTGCTCTTGGCGAAAACTATTTTTGACAGCCAAAACAATAAATAGTTTAACATATCGAAAATATTTTAGTACCGGTATGTTGAAAATATTTTGGTATGTCGAAAAATATCACAGTAGTTCGAAAATATTTTAGTATGTCAGTATGTCAAAAAATATTTAAAGCATTTATAAAATTTATAGATTAGGGCCTATTAAGCTCTATTCTCATGTATATACCTTTTTAACATTTTGTATTGGTAAAATTTTCTATTGTTTAATGACCAATAAGTACGTACATTAAAAAATATTATTTTTGACTTGGGCGATACGAATATTTTAAAAAAAAATAAAAAATAAAAAAAATTTGTTTCACGACATGAAATATTCAAGAACTTGAGTAACTTATTATAAATAGCGGAATAATAAATCATCTCTATACTCACTTTCGCGAATAAAAAACAATTCGAGTTCTGTGAATTGTAAATTTAAAAGCGCGAAGTCTAGGTTTCTCTTAGCATAACATCAGATAAAAAAAAAGAACCAAAAAACCTGTGAGCAAAATAGGTATTAAAGATAATTTATATACTAATTTTTTTGAATTTTACTAAAACGCATCTATGGTGTTTCACACCATAGGTCCTTATTTCTTAAAAACATACTAAGTAAACGGGATCGGGTACTCTAAGTAAAAATGTTCAGGACCCCAAAAACCTCACAAAAACCCTTATATTAGCTCTATATTATATTATATAAAAAAAAAATTCTTAATACCCGAACCCTAACCCTAAATTTTATTAAAACCAATTATATATGGTGCTAAAACACCATAGGTGCGTTTTATAATAATTGATTTTTTTTTCACAGTCTAAAATAAAATAATTAACAGTATTTTAACTAATAAGCTGTAATATCGGATAAGATTGTAATTTTCAGGAAATATTTATTTGTGCGAGTTATGAACTTTAAAAGGAAATAGTTTTTTTGAAAAATTTTAAAACTTCTACGTAGCAAAGATTTCTCAATAATTACTTGATCAAATTCGGTAAAAAATTTTTGTTTTTATAGAATTAATGGTAGGTGTACAGTACGTAGAGCAAATATTACGTTTTTGATACTTCTGCACTTAATTTGATAGATCTAAACATACCCTAAAAATAACTAATAGGATTACATAATAAAAGCTTATAAAATTTTTAGCGTTAGGGTATGTTTAGATGTATCAAAAACGTAAGTTTTGCCTCCAAGGTCACAGACGCGTGACTTAACTTACGATTCAGACATTACATAATTAGAAATCATCAATAAATAAAAGACTTCACCCATCCTATTTTACACATTCCTATTTTACACATTCCTATTTTACACATTCCTATTTTACACATTCCTATTTTACACATTC